GCCCCATTCAAACTATAAAAAGCAGCTTTATTATGAAAATAACCCAGTACTGTTTGTGCAATATTTTATTACTATTTACCTTTAGTATATACATATTTTACAATGATATTAAATACATCAACAAGTTAACATAAAACTTCTACAATCAATAAATAATCTTAAAATATTTTATTATATTAAATAATTGTAAAACTAGCATCAATTGTCTTTTTAATATACAACTTAAAATAAATTATTACCCTGAAGTAATTTGCTCGTGAGTAAAATACTAATCTGAGTGTTTTTCTGACTACAGTAAAGTATTCGTAACTTTTTACAAAACATTCTCAATTCCAAGATCTATGTGTCATTAGCCTTTTATTCCTGAATCATTGGGATTATGACATCTAAAAACTCTGCCGGCTTATCAGCGTGCAGCCAGTGTCCTGCACCTTCAATATAATGGAAAGTTGCCAGTGGAAAGACGTCTTGGATGATTTCCTCTTCTTCTGGTCTGTGAATAAAAAGCGAGTTAGTAGTTTTATGATAAGGTGAAACAAAATTTACTGTATTCTGATTTACAGTCCATGGATCTTTTTCTTAATTACTAATGTTAATCATCAAATATCAAATATCTCTGTCACTTCTTATCCTGCATTAGTACATGAGTATGACTGCATGAAACCATCTGCAGTCACAGAATGACCATATTACAAACACACAGCACATATACAAGTACACAGAAACTCTTTACCTCACGTAATCCGACAAAGCTCCGGCCACAAAAGCAGTCTCTCCTTCAAAATAACTGTCTCTCTTGATAACTGGAAAGGTAGATATGTGAGGGTTGAAGTTCTCAGCAATAGCATTAATATTCACTCTCCATTTGTAGCCTTCCTCATCCCGGATCAGGTTTGTCAAGAGGAACTGCCGAATACCGCGTTCCTGGGAGCAAAAGTAAATGGTTGATTCACACTTCCTGGTACTTCACAGATGAAAAAAATAGAATAAAAATAAAGTAGTTTGTGTTGACCAAGATAAGAGCTAGGAAAATAATAACATTTTAATTCTAGTATCAATATATGAATATTACACTATAGGTAGAAAAGTAGGATATAAACAAAAAAAATTGAAACATATCTTCACTGACCATCCATAGCCAATGACTATTTATTATCATTTTTCATTTCAATTTGAGTGAAAAGAATTTAGGAATCAAATATTGGTGCAAGATGGGAGATATCTCACCGGGACTGCAGGTAGCAGGAGGTTGTCTACATATGTACGCGCTTCAACTATATTCAGATGGGACGGAACTTGGACCTTCCGCATAATCTCAACAAAGATGGGAAGCGATGATATGCTGTTTGAGACTCCGTAAGGAGAGATATCAAGTACCAGCAACTTCTCCACTACTGATGGCTGTAATGTTAAAGGCTTTGGGTTATTCTAATATTCTCACTCACTAACACTCACTCACTCACTCACTCACTCACTCTCTCTCTCTCAGGCTCTTTTCCTTACTCTGTCTCTCTTCTCACTCTCTCCTTTCCCCTTTTTCTCACTCTCCCCCTAGTTAAACCTCTCACTCATTCTCCCCTTCACTCTCTCACTTACACTCACCTTCTCCTTCTCCTCACTCTCATCCTCTGCCTCACTTCTATCTTCACCTTCTATCACTACCTCATCCTTAGCTTTATTTCTTGCCTTACCCCCATCTTCTCCCTCTCCTTAACTGCACCCTCATTCTTTATGCTACCTCATTTTCAAACTCTATCTCATCCTCACTTAGCTACAGATTTGTACACAACTAACCTCCATCAGAGCTGTTGCCATGACTGCCCTGCCTCCCATGCTGTGACCCATCAACACAGCCTTCGGAATGTTGTGTTTTTCGAGGAAATAAATCAGGTCTTCAGCTAACAGTGGGTAGCTTATATCTGGAGTGTGGGGGCTGTCACCGTGATTTCTGGCATCTACAGTATAAACCTGGGAGTAATATCATTTAGCAGCTGTATTTGATACTTTCAGTTTTGCTATATCACTTGAAAAATGGTAAGTAAATACTATATTCCTAGGCCCATTGTTTCTTTTTTTTCATATCATTTTCTCAAGTTACAATTACTGGATGTCTTTGTCACTTACTTGCCGCCCTGTTTTGGAACTGATAGCTTTTCCGAGCCCTTTCCAGTTTGTTTTTGAACCGAGCAGTCCATGCATGATAACTACTGGGGCCTTGTCAGATCTCTTTTGTGGACTTGCTGATTGGAATAAGGTAAAGGCCATATCTACTGCAGAACTTCTGTAAATACAAAGAATGATACAATTTGAATATTTAAACTTATATTATCACTAAATTATATTAGAATAAATTTTACTAATATTACACAAAGATGTATATGCTCCTTTCGGAAGGCTTATAAGGGTTCCATGAGAATCAGTAACCAGTGAATGCAGTGTCCACCAAATATATCCGGGCAAGATAAGGGCTTGGACCCGTTCCTCTTTTGACAACAAATAAGCTTAGACCTACAAGCATTATCTTCCAGAATCTACGTGATGGAGGTTTGGTGACCTTCATCAGAGCATAACAGATGCAGAAGCCACAGCAAGCACTTGGCACTACCAGTAACTGGGTCATGCACATATCAATACTGCTAATCTAGAAAGTATGAGATACATGACATATAATTTATCAATAGGTAGTCATATGAAAAAAAATATGAACCTAGAGGAAATCTAAAAGGCCCTATATAAAAATCTTATAAAATTTTTGAAGGTTCTGTGCTATGACTTTTCAAAGATTTTACATTAATAATCACAGCATCAATTTTGTTTACTTCAAATTTGGACATGCCTCTTTCATCCATCTTTTTTGTAGGATCATCATCATCAAAGGAGCTGATGCCAACTGGGGAGCACAGCCGCATCCACTCTTCGCTTCCAGACATGGGTGTGCCACCAGACAGGTCCTTGGCTTATCTCTAGCTCTTGACAATTGGTCTGGTCAAGCTGTCCAAGCTACGACTTCCTAGGTATTCCCAGGGGCCTACTTTAAGTAGGATTGTCTCGTAAAGAGGCAGTGAAACGAGCTAGATGCCTGTATATCCTTAGTTGGCAGTCACAGATTATGCAAGTAATAGATGCCATGCCAGTCTCACGGTACTGTACCCCATGATCTGATACAGGAACTTATGTATGAAGATATGTAACTTAATCCTTCTGCATAAATACCAGCAGCTCCAAATACTCTTGTTGACTGAATTCATAGCTCCTGCTGCCAGATCAGTCCGTCTACTGATTTCCTGGTTTGACAGTCCAGAGACATGGACTGCACTACCAACATATGTAATGCTTTCTGTGACTCCAATGTCCTTACCACAAGCCTGTGTTGACTGAATAGGTTCCTCTAGCAAGCCCCCAAAATCCTGGATCTTGGACTACCAGATGGCAGCCAGGACAGTATGCAAACCATATGCCATAGGTTCATCTCCAGCCTTTAACAGTTCAGCAGGGATATCACATGTGCCTGTATCTTTCCCACACTTCAGCTTAGAGATTGCCTCTCTAACTTCTGTCAGGGTAGGAGGATCCTCAGTGATGGGTGGGTCTGGTAAAAGGATTGCAACATCACTTGAGTTCAGACTAAATACTGAAGGGAATACCTGGTACAGTTGCCCAAAATACTCAGCCCAATGTTCATGAACCCTAACATGATCTGAGTGGACTGTATTCATCTGTGAGGAAGGACTGGAGTTAGGCCTCGGTAGGCATTATGAAGGTCATTTACTGGGAAATGGTCTTCTACCTCCTCAGCAAGATTCCCAATGAACTGTTCCTTATCCCTTCTCAGCAGAGTCTGAGCCCTATATACCAAAGAATGGCACAAATCCCAACTGCCATTCAGATGAGCCAGGTAAATTGCATCTATGGCCTCTAGTATGCCTTGTCCTTGAGCGTTCATCCATGGACTCATGCACTGCATCAAGTGTTTCACGCCTAAAGGAATTCCATAGAACTACAGGGTCCATCAGTTATTCAAGCACTGATAACCAGTCTGAGACAGTTGCAGCAAACCTTTGTGTACACTCCTCTTCCCTCAATCTGCCCAGGTAAAACACCCTAGAGAGGCCACTGTGGGCTTCCCTTGGGCTTTGCCCCGCAGGCCTTACAATGGGTTGGTGGCTACCAGAATGCAGGCAGAACAAGTAACTCCCATTCCCATCCTGAGCCCCAGCAGTCGCCTCACTTGTTGGTTGGGAGAGAGTTTCTCTCTCCCTAGCATTTCTATTCATATTGAATACTGCCGGCGAGTTGTATCTGGGTAAAATTTCAGATTCTGCCAGCCTCCTCCTTTCGAAACGATTGTTTTTGGAATGGATAATTCCTTCGCTGTTTAGCGCTGTAATGCTATTGTAACTGGACCCACGAAAATAACTTGAAATTGTATTGTACTGGCAATGTACAACTTAAAACTACAACCACTGGCATTTTCTTATACTATCGCCCATTCCAAGAGGTAGATTTTATATTTCTAACTTAAAATACTACCTACTAGTAGTACAATTAGTACTAACAGCGGTTTTATTAATTACATAATTTAGCACAGTACATTCATACTGCAAAATACTCTTTACCTTGAGGTAGTATATTTTTTCGACAGAACACTTTCAATTGTGAACTGATGTCTCTGCATAGTTCTCGCATGTATATTAATTAACCCTTTTAATAAATTCATCGTGAAATTACTTGGTGTTCCTTCCCTGCCTCTCTGGCTCTGCGATATGTTTACAAAGTTTGGTCGCTTGGCCTCCGGATCCTTTGTTTACATCCATAAGTCAGGGTTACATAGATTATTTACATATTTACTTATGTGTCGTATTTGGAGGTAATTGATTGATAATTTTACACTATCTTT